TTATTTCACAACAAAGGAATTTAATGAGTATCTCACAAAATATGTGCATATAAGTGCACATGAGAGATGTGTATATCTATTTTACTGTAATCCTAGTATATTGAGATGTTCTAACTTTCCTATAAAACTAAAGTCACCTGGTTTGTAATTTTCTTTATTGTTCTATAATTTTGTGAGTGGAGGTATTATTGGTAATAAACCAGGAAACAGTCGTGGTTTTTGATGCAGCCTTCCTTGCTATTTCCTTTAGGTGTTTCATTCCTTGACTTAAAGAAACTGAACAGTAGAAGAAAGAACACTGGGTGGCAGACGGGGCCACAATGAAGTACAGGAGGAGGTGTCCCTGCGAAGTCAGCATCAGCGCCATATCACCCTACGGGCCGCTCTTGGTATGAAATCCGCTTGAATTAGTGATAGGTTTCACTCATGTGGGAGCCTGCCAGACCTCACGTGGTGCCTGCCCAACCTGGTGCTGGACCCTAACATGACAGCGTGTCCCTCTAATATTGATTTCTGTGTTCCTCTTCTGAGCTCCAGTTGACCTTTTTGCTTTTCCTGCATGTGCCAGCATCTCCCCCATCAGCTGTCAGTAGGTCTTTCTGTCCGCCTCTTCAAACACCATCCCCTGTCAAACCTAATGAAAGCCCCATGGCTTCTTTGTCTGCCTCAGAGGGATCTTGCACTCTTTGGCAGCTCTCCCATGCCCACTGATAAGGCCTTTTTTCTTTTCTGCCTTTGTTTCTCTGCTGAGCCAAAAAGCCCCAACAATTAACATGCTCAGTTTTGGAAAAATAACAAGTCTCATCCAGTGCAGGTGAATGCAGTCAAGAACATTGTTTTCATTGCACAGCATTAGTGCTTAAGGAGTGTGAGCAAGGCAGAAGAATATGGTGCATGATATAGTGTCTCTCCCTCCTCTTGATATAGAAATAGAAATGAAGGGGCCAGGGATTTAGCTCAGTGGCATGAGTGCCTGCCTGGCAAGCGTGAGGCTGTGAGTTCCATCTCCAGTACCAAAAATAAATACAATAAAAAGTAAGAAAGAAAAGAAATTCAGTGAACGTGGCTTTTTTCACTTACTAATGGACCTGTTTTTGTTAGTCATAGAGTTTTCAGTCCCTCCGTGCCTCCTTATCTTGATCTGTCCTGCCCCAGCTCAGCATGTAACACTTCATTTGTAGTAGTCACGAAGTAATGAGTGAAGGAGGTATAGAAATAAATGAAGGGGATCGTGTAACACATGGTCATTTCTTTCATTTTTATTCATAGAGAGAATGAACTCTAAGACACAAGAAAGGTGATGTGAAACATTGTCTGACAATCAGTGAAAACAGTGGTGTGGATTCTTGGGTAAGTGCATTTTGAAGTTTCTAGAGGAAATAAAAACTACATTTTCGATTTCAATCAGTTAGAATGCTCTTGAATTTCTTTTAAAAATTCATTTAAAATGGGGACCATTTTGCCATATTTCTGTCTATGTACTAGAGTTAGTCATATACAAGCGGAAGTAATGTTTCTTTTGTAATCTTATATGCAATAAGATTAGCCATTATGATCATTTAACAGCATGGGGATTTGTTTGTTTGTTTGTTTTTTGGTGGTGGGGATCAAACTTCTGACCTCTTGCTTTTCAGGCAGGCACTTATGCCATGAGCTAAATCCAAAGCCCTGTTCTGGGGCCCTGGTCTGGGATTTAGCTCAGCAGTGTTAAGTGCCTGCCTGGAAAGTGTGAGGTCATGAGTTTGATTCCCAGTAGCCAAAAAAAAAAAAAAAAAAAGTCAGCACACTTGAAAATCACTTCTTTAATCATTTTTAATTTGATTTTACATTTTTTGTGTGGGTGGGGGGGTAGGGAACCATTGGCTCAGTTGTGATCATGCGACATTCGGTGTCAGGTACTACTGGTATTGCAAGACATCACCTTTATAAAGTTAAAATTTATTAGAAATGCTTGCTTGTCTTGCAAAACACTTGCACAACAAGTTACTCACAATCTAAGCATTTTTAAGTCAGATTGTTCACAAGCATCTGCAGTATCAGTTTTTTCTTTTCTTCTTCTTCCTCTTCTTATTCTTCTTACCCGAGCTCCTCCTCCTTCTCTTTCTTTGTTTCCTCCCCTGGTGCTTCCCCTGCTTCTTCTTTGCTTTGGTGGCCAGTTTCTTATGTGTACCTTATTGTGGAGCTTTTTAAAAAATTGTTCACATACAGACTTGATACAAATGTAGTTTATAGAAAACCATCTGCAAACCAGAAATGAAAATAGTACACTTACTATACATATATTAAACTGATAAATTGTTAGGAATCATTTTAATTTAATGCATCATTTGACAATGAAATAGTAGGTGGTTTAATTTTCTTTCATCTGGTACTTATTTTAGAGGTGCAGATTGGCACACAGCAAAGGACTTTAACACCACGGTAAAAGTAATAAAGTTTAATTAACTGTTAATTAGCACATGAACTATTGCATCAAAGAACGAGAAAGTACGGAAGTTACCAGATCAGAAGAGCTTGGATTCCTCTTCTAAATAACTATAAAACACTTGCTTACAATGCTGGCATATACGCATATGTAAGCACATCGTCCAAGCCATCACTGCCAAATCCGAGTTCAGTTTCTAACTCTTGTTTTCCTGCTTTCACAGGGAGCCCTTTTAAGACCTCCAAAACTCTCATTAAGATCCTTTCAAAGGTGTCTCTTCCTACACTGTCCTTTGCTTATCACTGTTAAGCTTGAAGAAAAAACCCGGTCTCCATCCCAAGAATTTTTGAGTCTTCCAGCTTTGCCCTGGAGGAGCAGAGAAGGGCGCTCAGCTAGGGATGAATCATTCCAGGTAGTTCAAGCTATGAACGGGGCACAGCCTCCCGCCCCTCCCTGACATCTCCCTGAATGTTCTGTCCCACCCTGGGCAGTTGTGCTAGTTCTCATCCTGGAGAATCAGGTGGTGCTGCTGCCCCTGCTGGTGATGGAAGGTTAAGTGTATAAACAGTTCAAACAGCCATTTGTTGTTCTTCCTTTCCTGTGTACAGAAGAAGATTGCACCCAGGGGCATCTACCACTGAAGTACATCCCCCACTCCTTTTTCTTTTTATTTAACTTTCCCAGAGGAGCCTGAACTTGTGATCCTCAAGGTTTAGCTTCCTTAGTGCTGGGATTACAGGTGCACAGCACACCTCAAGTAAAGGGCTTATTTTGGCTCACTGTTGTGGAGGTTACAGTCTGTGACTGCTTGACCCCAGTGCTTTTGGGCCAATGTTGAAGCCCCACATGATGGGAGGGTGTGACATGAGAATCACAAGTTCAAGGCCAGCCTGGTGGACTTCATGACTTTGTGGAACCCTGTCTCAAACTCCAAATAAAAAAAGGCTGGGGATGTAGTTCAGTGGAAAGCCCCTCAGTTCAATACCCTATACCTCAATCCATCAACTAAACAACTATTAAAAAAGACTTCAGGAGGAATATTTTAGTGACAGAAGGCTTCTGTCTTTTAACTGTCTCAGTGCCAATACCCTGGTTATGGTATTGTGCTGTAGTTGTTGAAAATGTTACCACTTAGTGAATGCCACATGCAAAAGGATCCAGCAGTTTGTTTCTTACAACTCCATGTGAACCTACAATAACCTCAAAATAAAAGTGATTCCTGAAAGAATGCTCATTGTTCACCTTTTGGGATCTAGAAGCTATCAGCTGGGCAAATCTGCAAACGCTGACTTTTTGGCTGCCACCAGTTCCTTATACATCTTGCTTGCAAAATGACCAGTTGTCTCAGGTTGATGTCTTTAGCAGCACCCTGGCTACTAGCCATTCTTCTTCTTCTACTTCTTCTTCTCCTTCTCCTTCTCCTTCTCCCTCTCCCCTTCCCTCTCCCCATCCCCCCTCCCCCTCCCCCTCCCCCTATCCTCCTTCTTCTTCTTTCTTCTTCTTCTTCTTCTTCTTCTTCTTCTTCTTCTTCTTCTTCTTCTTCTTCTTCTTCTTCTTCTTCTTCTTCTTTCTTCTTCTTCCTTCTTCTTTCTTCTTCTTCTTCTTCTTCTTCTTCTTCTTCTTCTTCTTCTTCTTCTTCTTCTTCTTCTTCTTCTTCTTCTTCTTCTCCTTCTCCTTCTTCTTCTTCTTCTTCTTTTTCTGTTGATCCCGGTGTCAAACTCAGGACCTATGTGCTTGTCAGGCAGGTGCCTACACTGCTGAGCTAAATCCCCGGCTCAAAGAGCTATTATTTCTAAGGCCAACACACCTTGCTTTTCCATTCTGCTAACACGGAACTGATCACCCAGTGTCACATATATCAGAGCCGCCCAAGTTAGCACAACAGATAGTTTGCCCTGTGTTGTGTGAATCTGTGTGTTTGCCAGTTTGGCAGGTGAAAAGTGTTAATGTATAGTTTACATTTCTCTTAGAGTAATGCAGGTTAAATGTCTTTTAATATCTTAAGTTTGTACTTTTTCTGTGAACTTTGCTTATGTGCTTTGCTTGTGTAATAATGGTATCCGACTAATTTTAGAATACATGCTGCTTAGAGAAGTTTTGAACACTTACAAAGCTTGTGCTCTTCTCTACAGACATACATACTGAATCAGAGTAGTCCTTGTGATCTGTGAACTTTTGAGTTCTCTCCAAATTGAAGCAGAGGCAGCAGTTATCAGGAACAACGAGTTCAGAGAAATACATACTAAATCAGACAGCCAGTATTTGGGCTCAGTAATATGTTTCTAAGATGCTCGCAAGATTTGGAAACCGCTGAGCAAATCGGCTGAAATCAAGCAATGCCAATCAGCGAGAGAATACGACGAGGCCCCTGCTAAACCAAAGTGGCCATTCTTTTTCTGACCTCGCAGGCATCCAGAGGCTTATCAAAGACTGTGCATTTCAGGAAATCACAGAAGCTTGTTTTAGTCATTTGGCTCCAGACTAAAATTTGAACTATACTGAAATCAGATATTTGGGTGTCTGGGACTAGCTACTTAGTCCTAGCCAACTGGTAAGCTCAACCAAGCACAGTGGAGCCAGGATGGGAACTCCTCTGGTGCAAAACACAATAGGAAGCACAAGATCCAGTTCCCAGGCTGGAGAGGGCGGGGCCCTTCAGACCCACCCTGAGTGGGCGGTGACCACAGGCGGCTCCCTGCCTCTGTGACGTCAGGGAAGTCCCGCCCACAGCTGTCAGCCACTGTCCATACCAAGTTGTGTGCTGGCCAGGAAGTTGCTCCTTTCTGGGGTCATGATGGGCAGCAAGATGGCGTCTGCCACCGGGTTGCCCAGGTAAAGGGCTTCCATTGATTTTCCGCACGCGGGGCGGTGGGGATGGTGCAGCCATAGCAAAGGTTTAGGGCGGAGAGGCCTTGTCACAGGATGCACAGTGACACTGCCCACGCTGCTGCATAGGCCTGTATGAAGATGGGACATGAAGCCCGTGGCATTGGGCAGTAGGGCAGCACCTCGCGCTTTGCAGGGGCGAGGCATATCCACAGGTGGCTAGCTCCCTGCTGACCTGATAGTCTCCCTGATAGCCTTTACCTCAATCAGATAAATAGTCTTCTGTGACAGACCAACAGCCCACATCATACTAATTGGAAAAAAACTGAAAGCCTTCAACCTAAAATTAGGGACGAGGTGAAGATATCCACTATCACTACTCCTGTTCCATATAGTTCTGGAAACAGCCAGAGCAATTATACAAGAGAAAGAAATAAAAGGAAGAAGACTAAGGAAGGAAGAAGTGAAATTATTATTTGGAGACCACAAGATATTCTACTTAGAAGACCCCCAAAATTCCACAAAATTTTTCCGGATTTAGCAAACAAATTCTGAGGTGTAGCTGGATACAAAGTCAACGATCAAAAATCAGTAGACTTCTTGCACACGAATAACAAACTCAATGAGAGAGAAACCAGGGAAACAACACTTTTCACAATAGTATGCAAAACCTGAGATTTTTAGGAATCCTTCTAACAAAGGTAGTGAAAGATCTATACATTACAAGTTACAGGATTTTGAAAAAGATGATACTGCAAAATGGAATGATACCCTTGCTTATGCATAGGAAGGACCAACACTGTGTAAGTGTCCATATTCCCAAAACTGTTGTATAGGTTTAATATAATCCCGATCAAAATTCCATTAGTGTACCTCAGAGGTCTAGAGAAAACATTCTTAAAATTCATCTGGAACCAGAAGAGACCCAGAATCCTGGGCAACAAAGGCAAAGCAAGAGACCTTACAATCCCTGACTTGAAATTATACTACAAAGCTACAGTGATGAAATTAGCATGGTACTGGCAAACAGACTTGAGGATCATTGGAACAGAAAAGACGCAGACACAACCTACACTCAGCCACACTCTCACTGAGAAAGGTGCCAAAGATGTTCAGTGAAAGAAATCCTCTTTAATAAATGGTGCTGAAAAACTTTTTTCCATATGCTGAATACAAAAACTAAAACCAAACCACTGGCTATCACCATGCACTAAAGTACAAATAAGATTTTTTTTTTTTTTTTTTGGTGCCAGGGATCCAACTCATGGCCTTGCACTTCGCAGGCAGGTGCTTGTGCCTCTGAGCTAAATCCCTAGCAGAAATGGGTCAAAGATCTCAATATTAAAAGAGAAATATGAAATGTACTAGAAGAGAAATAAGGTGGAAATCTTGAAGACATGGCAGTAGACAAAGATTTCATGAACAAAAACAAACTACATAGGAAGTACATCAAGAATCAATAACTGGGGGCTGGGGATTTAGCTCAGCGGCATAAGCACCTGCCTTGCAAGCAGGTAGTCGTGAGTTCGATCCCTGGTACCGATAAAAAGGAAAAAGACAAAAAAAAAAAAAAAAAAAAAAAAAAAGAATCAATAACTGGGGTTTCATCTTATTACGAAGTTTTTTTATTCACAGCAAAATAAGTCACCCACAGAGTGAAAAGAAAACTCACATATTGGGAAAAACTAGCCAACTGTTCCTCAGACAAAGGACTTGTATCTGGAACATATAAAGAACTGAAAAACATCAGGTCCTGGGATTCTGCCTTTCCCCAGAAACAATGGCTATCATCAAAAATCATTGAATAATCAATTCTGGCAGGGTTGTGGGGCAGAACATCCTTTCCCAACCTTCGTAGGCATGTAGACAGGTACAAGCACTGTGGAAATCAGTGTGGAGGCTCCTCCAAAAACTAGGACTAGAGGTCCCATTCAACCAAGTTATTGCCCTTCGGGGTGTTTTCCCAGAAGAATTAAAAACATCATACCACAATGATATATGTTCATCCATGTTTATAGCAGCACAATTTGTAATAGATCTTTGAAACTACTCAAATGTCCATCAACTGCAAAAAGCATAAAAATGATGTATTTTCTGTTTCTTTTTCATAGTGAGGATCGAGCTCGCGACCTCACATTTGCCAAGCAGAAACTGTGCTGCTGGCTAAGTACCTGGCCCTAGGATATGGTATTTTAATACAAGATAGTATTCCTTACATATAAAGATGGATCAATTCAAGGCTTTTATAGGTAAATGATGCAACTAGAGTTTATACTTACAAGTGAAATAAAACAGACCAATATGGGTAAACAGCATGTTGTCTTCCTAGTGTAAGAAACTGAAAGAGTAAATAAGATCCAAAAGGTATAACGCATATTCTGAAAGAGAATGAAACTGCTGAAGAGGAAAGAAATGGGACAGGGAAAAGGAGAAAAGAAGCAAGGAAAGTTACATATATACATATGTGTATACACACACAGATACCTAAGACAGTTCTACTACTAATGCTCATAGGTCATCGAAAGGAACATTAACTGCTTCTATTGGAGTAGTCCTGCATCTGGTAATCACAGCAACTGTTTTAAAGACCACAAAATGCAATATAATAAGCATTGTTAATTTCCTATCTTGTTTTGAAGTTCTGTATTTTTTATGGGTTTTTAAAATTGAAAATGGTTGAAAGTGTTTGTCAGTATTTTCATTAAAATTCAGGTTAGCTGTCCCATTTATAATAAAGCAGGCAGGAGCTTGTTTTTATGTATATCTCCTACCGGTTCTTCTGGTAACTTAGAGCAAGTTCTGTTTTATATGATGCCACCTGCAGCACTTGTAGACAGCTGTCAGGATCACACATAAATGTCCTGATCATTTCACTGAGGGAATTAAAATATTATAAGTGGAATTAGTGGCATATGCCTTTAATCCAAGCTGTTTAGGAGTTAGAGGTGAAAATCAAAAAGTTTGAGGCCAGTCTCAGCAATGTAGCCAGAGCCTGTCTCAAAATGAACAAATTAAGCTGGAGCCAGCTGCGGTGACACACACCTGTAATCCCAGCCCTCGGGAAAGCTGAGGCAGAAGGATCCCTACTTCAAACCCACCCTAGGCAATTTGGGAAGACCCTGTCTCCAAATACAACAGTGCTAAGAGTGTAGCCCCCTTTGAAGGCCCAAGGTGAAGTCCCCAGCACTGCAGAAAAATGAAACGGAATGATAGTGTAGGCATGAAGAAGGGAAGTGCAAAGGCACTCCTGGATTTGATCTGCGCTGCCAAAAAGTCTGGGGAGTCATTTTCAGATCAAAATAGAATGTACAACCTAGCTGCTATTAACTCACATTTTTCTGCTGTCTGAAATAATTAGGAAATATCCTGCTGCTTGCTTTTTCAAGATCTTTGTTTATAGAATTCTCATGTATAATATGTTTTATTTTAACCTAACAGAATTAAAACATGCTTCAGAAAGTAAGCTTATAATACTACAAACCGAGAATAAAAAACCTGAGAAAGGAGCTGGACAGTATGGAAAATTCAGACAAGATAAACACCATGCAACAAAGCCTACAGAAAGAGATGAAGCTTGCTACAGTTACTCAACATGTGTTCTAGGTAAAATTTGTATAAATCAGGAAAGGAGGGATAAAGACCTTTTAAAAACACCACTGATATGAAGACCTTACCACGGTTTATGTTAGGCTGTGGTCATAAGCTAATTCAGTACAAGGTCTGAGTCCGTAGCTGAACTGGAGAGCACTTGCCTAGCACTGGTGAAGCCCCGAATTCAGTCCCAGCATTGCAAAAATCATAATTGTCTACTGATATTTACTGTGCTTACATATGTAATATTCATGTACAGTCAGCATTTAGGGGCCCATTTTTCATTGTGGTTAATCATTAGGATTTAGAACTGGCATGTTTTCTACAGCTCTGGAGGCAGGTTGGAGTACAGCTTTAGCCTCCAAGTTTGAGGGCGGAGTGGACCTGCGTGAGAGTGGCAGCTAAGAAGGTGACTGCTGCCACTGGGAATTTAGCTCAAGTGGGTGCTCAAGGACATGGGGTTGACCCCAACCCCATCACAAAGAGAGAAATATCAGCATGATGACTGGTCCAAGTAAACTCTAGTAAATGTTGCCATAAGATTTTTCCCCTGAGACATTAATGGAAAGAAAGAAAGAAAGACAGACAGACAGATTGAAAGAAAGAAAGAAAGAGAGAGAGAAGGCTGACTGAGCTGACTATGGAGGCCCATATTTGTCCACACAAAGAGCTGGGGATGCAGCTCAGTGTGATGGCCATGGGTTCAACCCCTGGGCCTAGGGATGAAAGAAGCAAAAACTGTCTGTGGAAATTGATGAGATATTTGCAAACATCATAAACATACCTTTACCCTGCTGAAGCCTCTTGTAAGTAGAAATGAAGACAAAAGTGTATCACACACTGGGAATACAGGCAAGTGTCACAGCACCTGCCTGGCTAGCATGAGGTCCTGAGTTGAATGCTTGGGACAGAAAAAATAATTGTGTATCACTCTTTTCTGTGAATACAGAGCTACTGTACTTTTCTAGTAAATGTTTAAAACATTAGATAAGGTTAGTGAAGGGATTATTTAACAAAAATGTTGTTAAAATTTTAAAGTGCTTACATTTCAAAGTTGTTATATTCTGACTTGTTTTTTGTTTTTATTTTAAACTACAGAGCATCATTTTGGGGTGTAAAGTCAACTGGGCAGCAGATCCAGCACTCAGGGAAACTGTTCTGCAGCTTGAAAAGGCTCTCACCACAGTCTAACAAGAATTCCACTGGGCCAGGTGTCGCCATGTGTGCCTTTGATCTCAGCACTCAGGAGGCTGAAACAAGAGGATTGCCACATGCTGAAGACCAGCAAAGATTTGCACCTTGAAGTTTTTGGATTTTTGTCTCTGATATGTCATTTAAATAGCAAGTTTCAAGTGAAATGAATTTGCGATGTTTGGGGAACTCTCCTAATCTGTAATTGCTTTTTAGCTTCAGTTAACACTCTAACATAGAATCAGTGATTTTAAATAACACTAAAGTGACTGTGTACTCTTAAAAAGGGAATGTCTTAGTCATAGAAAAGACACCTGGTCTGATATCTGAGGAGCAGGCGCAGTTTTGGACATTCACAAGGTCCCAGCATTTGATTGTAATACTTGTGTGCATTTCTGCATTTGTCAGTCAGGATGCAGAGAGGTCTCCAGAGTGTCAGCAGCTGGTATAATTCGTAGTGGGGTTATGCGTAACTGTCTTCTGTTCTCTCTGTGTCTGTTTCTCCCCTCACACATACTTCTGCTCACACACATACAAGATGCTGGCTACACTCTGGCAATGCTGATGTACAGTGACATCTTTGCCCATTTTCAGTTCTGTTTAGACACAAACTCTTGCCAACTTACCAAGGCTGGCTTCAGACTCGGAACCCTCCTGAACAACTGAGATTACAAGCATGTACTGCCATGTCCAGTACAGCTCTTTATTAATTAGGAGCTATTGATCATATTTGTGGACAGTGTGATGTTTTCAGTATTCTTACTGGAATAAAGTGAAACTTGAAAAGATGCGCTCATTGGATAATAGCTCATGAAATCTGTTCTTTAGATTAATAACAAAGAGAGATTTCCCTAAGCTCAAATAGTAGGCTTTTCTTTGAAATATTTATACCTTGCTTTCTTTCATCAATCATACTGTATGCATAGATTTATTCTTTTTGTCAGTTATTGTTTTGAGGTAGAGTCTCACTGTGTCCTTCAGGGCATTCTTGAACTCACTATGTAGCCCAGGCTGTCCTAGAACTTCCTGCAGTCCTCCTGCCTCAGCCTCCTGAGTAGTAGGTTACAGGGATGCACCACCACACCTGATCTGTTGTTGTCTATATCAATTTTTATGAAGTAACTTACGTTTTGCGTGCAAATTATTATTTTGGAAAATGCTTTTCCATTCCAGTAATCCACACAGGAACTTTTGTTTGTTGTAGTACTGGGCATTGAACCCAGGGCTATTGTGCTAAGCTCTCTTGAGCCCTATATTTGTTGTTTTAATTTGTTATTTTGAGATAGGATCTCATCAAGTTGCTGAGTTGCCCAGGCTGGGCTGAAACTTGATCCTCCTGCCTCAGCCCCCTAGAAAGCTGGCATTCTAGCAGTGCACTACCACAGTCACTTGACACTGTATTAGTAAATTTCAACCTGTGGACCACCTGAAAAAGTGTATCTTCATATACTAAAACAGGTATATGTTTATCTGGGACCTTAGTGGTCTTTGACTTACCTGTTACCCAGCTCTGAGAGAGGAAATGGGTAGGCTTTGCCTGAACTGTTGCTGAATACGGAACTCACAGCTCACTGTTTTAGGACATTTACTTCTGTGTGGGTTTGGGGTTCAGCCGCCCACTCTAGGACTCCATTTGAGGGAGCAGCCACTCAGCAGAAGGCAGGGGCTCCTTAGATCAAGTCAAGTGCATTCCACAAGCAGAATGTAATCGTCTGCTTGGGAAAGGCAGCCATGGCCCCAACCCCACATCACAGAGGCCTTGGGTTTTCTCCCAGCTAGCGAATGCTGCATTTCAGACTCAGGAAAAGGAAATGGGAATTTACTACAAAGGACATGATCTACCTTAGTCAGCTTTGCTCCATGAAATAGACACCCAAGACTAGGGAGGTGCCGGCAGTCCTAGTGACTTGGGAGGCTAGGGCAGAAGTGCTTCAGCTATCAAGATCAAATCCAGCCTGGGAATACTTGAGACCTAATGTCTGGCTTATAACCAATCCACAAAAGACACTCCTCTCCAGGAAGTAAGCCAACAGCGCAGCCTCTCCTGGTGGTATTTCAAGCTTTAAGAGCTCTCTCTCTCTCTCTTGCTCTCATTCTTGCTCTTTGTCTCTCTCTCTCTCTCTATCTCTCTCTCCCTCCCTAATCCTGTTGCAGGGGGTCTCCTTATGTAACTGGCCTAGAACTCACAGGGATCCTCATGCCTCCGCCTCCCAAGTGCTGGAGTTACAGGAGTGCTTCACCACACTCAGATCGTCTTGTTCTTCAGTTGTTCTTCTCATCAATATCAGGTACTGACAACCTGGCTCACAGGCTGTTTTAGTATATGAAGTTTTACCACCACAAGGCCGTGCCACTATGTTCACATGTTAACTGTGCTTGCTTTCGTGCTATGATAAAATAGTGTAATCGAATGAAGTAGCTTAATAGTGACCCTGAGGCGGCTGCACTGCGCTTTTCCATAGGATGAGGTGTTGTGAAAGACAGGTTACCGAGCCCCGTGGGAGCTGGCTTCTGTTTGAGGGATGGCAAAGAAATACCAGCATGGCCCTCTCTCAAGGGCTCAGGGGCTTTGCATGGGATTTGAAGAGGGGATTGTCGCTACCTTGAGTCAGGGTGGCTTTGTGAACTGTGACTGTCATGCTGTTGGGCCCACGTGTGTTTATCTGCTCCTCTTACTGTCATAGGACCCGTGGACCTTGGTGGTACCATGGGGTGGCAGTTCTGCCTCCCTCATTTTTGCCTTGACAAGGGCCCAGGCATCCTGGGGCTGGCCCTAGTAATCCTCAGGTTTCCCCTCACAATGAATTGAAAAATCTAGTTGTGCTGTAGAATGTTTATTCTGAATTACCCAAATTCTTCTTAATTGTTTATGCGATTCATTTTACTACGGAGTTACTGCACCCTACATGTTAGATCCAAGTATTTTATTAAAATATTTTTTATCAAGAAACCTCAGCCTGGACCAGATACCTCCTGTTCCATCACCCACTGTGCTCTGGCCTGGCTTCCAGCCAGCACTGGGGATGGGGTCACTGGCCAAGCAGAGGAAGGGCGAGGCCAAGGAAGGTCGTGGCACACCGGGCACACAGGCCGAGTGTGGGTGGAGGAATGGAACAGGCGGGTGCGTGCACTAGGCCCTAGTCGGTCCTGGTGTGCACCCTGCCACCCAGGGAGCAGTGGGTATGGATGGCGCATCCCATGCCTTGTAAGCAGACACAGTGAAGATGAGGACGGACAGACTGAGCACTGAGGGTGAATCATTGAGTGACCTGATAGCAGTCTCTGGGCAGACTCTACCTGTGGGAAGTGAAGATAGAATTTCTGCTTTTGCTTCAGAAGCATTTACCATCCTCATGCTGTGGAAAAGTGATCTGCAAGGAGCCTGCATTGGGAATTCCATGAAGCAGAGTCAGTGCCAGCGCTCTCCTGGCAGGATCCCTGAAACGTCCATTCGGATGTGATCGGGAATTTGTGTTGCACTGAACACTTTCTTATGCCTCCTGTGTGACTGCGTTTTGCTTAGTTTATATTTTTATTGGTGTGTGATCATGGTACGTAATGATTATATTCATCGGGGATAGTTGGTGGATATGCATGATAGACTTTTCCTCGATGTGGTAGAAAAACAAGAGTAAAGAAAGCAAAGAAGAAAAAGGCCTTTATTGCTGGCATGGGAGGGCTGCAGTGGGGCGCAAGATCCCTTCAGGGCAGACAAAGAAACCTGGAGCTTTTATTCAGTTTTTGGGGGGTGGAGTTCGATGGGGTGGGCAGAGTGACATTTTGACAGTTGTTTGAGGGATTGTTGATGTGTGCACAAGTGGGAAATTCACTTTTGGGTTTGCAAGAAGAACGTGGAAGTCAGTTTTAAAGTGAGGTACGGTCCAGTGCCATGTTGGGCAGGCACCATGCTGAGCCTGGCAGTGCTCCACAGGAGCTGAATCCATTATTCCCATCTTTTGGGTGTTAGAGGCAGCCACTCTTAAACTGCTTCCTGCTGACTGGGGTGACATGATGGGCATTGAAGTAGTCATTGTGATGACAGTTTGGACCCGTGTAGAATCTGGTACCAGGGGTTTCCTCAGGACAAGGAATCACCTTGTTATAAAGGCCCACAACCTGGATTGAAGAAATCTTGAGAAAAGTTTAAACAGACAAGGAGCTATAATCAAAAAATAACAAGTAATATAAGTGGTCCTTCCAGGGGAAGAAGCTAGGAGGAAAGTGTTCCCTTTTCTATAAGAACAGCAGTCAGACTTTTTTGCAGATATTATCGTAATATATTTTTAATTGCCCATAACAGTTGTTAAATACTGGGATAATTGGAAACTGCCTGAAGAGGTTATACTTGGAGCCCTTTTTATATTTAACTTATACACATTTTTATATCCTTTGATTATATTTTATACTGGATGTTTAAGACCAAGTTAAATTGAGACCTGTGTTAATTAAAAGTAACCTCTTGCTATCTTTCAAGGTCAGGTACGTCTCCTCAGGATTTGTCTTGGAACCATGTGTGGAGCCTTTCAGTTCTTGACAGTGTCAGCCATCAGGATCGTCAAGCAATGAGCCATTGCTTGACCAAGTTGGTTTCTGTGAAAGCTTGGGGGAATTTTCTCCTGGTGACTCTCCTTAGGCACACTATATATTGTGTCACACTGTTTTGTAGTTCCATAATCTCCTTGATCACAAGACCCATGGAGATAAGGAATGTCACTGCAGAGGTTCTCTTATATCCTGGATCTTCAGTGACCTCAGAGGGCCGCAAACAAAATATTGGTTGTCTCCCAGCCCATTCATCTTTTTAATTTTTGGTCTCCAAATATCTATTGTTGAACATCCAGAAGTAAGGATTGGTAATATTATAGTGTAACAAGGCAGCATGTTTAGCATTATTACCTTACCTGAATATCAAGCAGCTTGAACATAAAATAGCAACCAATATTTCTATCAATCATCCATGTCCTAATACTTAAACCCATGGAAAATGTTAACAGTTACATACTTTTCACAGAAAATCTAAAATCAAAACTATACATAATATTGTGGCATGACAATTATGACACTTTGTGTCAATCTGAATTTGACCTAAGATACCCCTTTTAGTGGATCATCACTATCTAGTACATAAGCTTTACCTGACTGGTTTATCTTTAGTGGGATGAGCATGTAGTAAGTTTGTGTTACAGGCAGAGGTCTGAATCTGAAACAATTTTGTTAAACAATCTCTGTTTTACATTTTTGGAAGGAAAACCTGTACATGTGGAAGCATGAATACATTAATACACCATAAGGTTAATAACAAACTATCCTTTCATGTGAAACCGTTGTATCAGAGCATATTTAAATCAAAAAAATTATTGTATGATTTCTTTTGACAATGACTGATGTGAACATAATACAATAATGTGTTTTTGAATTTTAGTTGGGATGTCTCCCATAAGCCTATGGATGTCATTGGAGCCTCTGATCAATGAACAAGAACTGGTAAAATGTTACCAAGTAGCCACGTTCTGAATCATCAACTCCACAGAAGTCCTATCCGATAATGCAACTGACCCTACAGGATTTTAATTATCTTAATAATTCCTTAGCGACTTATGAAAAATCCATACACCACATTTAGCATACTGTTTTTAAACAATGAGAGACTGCTGCATCACCAAACATAAATGACAGTATTATCCAATTTACATAACCAATTATAGCATCATTTTGATGACCTGGCAACTCAGGTGGAAGCAGGGTTTTAGACATATAACCCATATTAAATTTTGAACCATTGATCCAAATATGGGAAAGGAAAAAATTGTTGAGTTCAAGTAAAAAACAATTGTTCAAGAATATGACAAATAGATATAGAAAATCTGTACAGGACATAGAAACATACACAATTTTTTTTGTTTTGGTATTTGTTTTTTCGTATCTGGGGTGGAACTCATAACCTCATGTCCTTGTGCTTGGCAGGCAGGCACTTATGCTGCTGAGATAAATACATAGTCCAGAACATACACAGTTTAACAGACAAACACAATCAGCGTGCACTCAAATATATTTGGCCAATTTGATTTCTCATAACTTTTATAAGTTGTACAATTGTAAATGTAAACTAGGGAGAACCTTTTTGCAAGCCATTTAACAGAGATCTCTTGAAATAACAACCAAAAGGAGCACAACTTTTTATACCTGTGAAAGAAAAGATAGTAGCAAAGCAAAGACAGCTATTAGGAAGTCATAGGAGTTTACCCTGAATTGAAGCTCTTTGACAGAATGACACGGGTTGGTAGCTAAGGACCTCAGTGCTGTGAGATACGGGAAAAGGCAGAGAGAGAAAAAAGGACGTAAACATGGACCAAGTCCTCAGTGCCTGTCACCTCACAGGCAGGAGGGAGAGGTTGCCTGAGTGACACTTTGAAGCAGGCTGGGGTGGAGATAGCAGCAGCCATGCAGAGCTGGCAGGTGGTGGCAAGCAGGAGGGGACACAGAGGCTGGGAGGGGTCAGAAGGCAGTGGAGGCTGGAGGAGTGAGTTGGGGTGTGATGGGCAGGTGGGGAAATGGCCAGAGCAGGAGGAGACACAAGGTGATGGGGAGGGGCGGAGAAGATGGCAACAGAGAAAAGCAGGAAGTTTCTTGGGGATATGGCAGAGGTCGATGGTGTGGAGCAGGCCAAAGAGCTGGGGCCACCCCATATGCTGAAGGAGGGAGGGACACGCCCTGAGAGCAAAACAGGCCCCTACTTGGGGTTGCCACTGTGATTGCAAAAGTGATCCAGTTTGCAGAGTGGCCTAGTGTTTGTCGCCCCCCTCTGGCCAGTGGTGGAACATTATAGATACTGTGGCCAGCTGTCTGGCAGGAAATGTGTGTTTTGGGGAGTGGGAAGAAGTATTTCCCATTGTGACCAAATGAGAGGAGAGCTGGATGGAGGCTCCAAAAACTGAGCCACAATCCCTTAGACTCATCACCCTTCTCAGTCTTGTGGGAGAGAGAAATACTCAGTAGACCCCAACACCTGCACCCGCGAGTTGTCACTTAGGGAAAAAGGACTGCAGGTCCTGAAGAATGTGGGGGAAATCCTGACATGAGCCCATGAGTTACAAGACAAGCACCCCAAAGTACGAAGTGCCTCCCTGTGAGAACGAGGTGGTTTCGTATTGGATGGAGGCTAGCAATGGCAGCTGCAGAGATGGGAGAAAGAGGAAAACCAGGGAAGAGAAAAAGCAGAGAAAGAGCTCATTGATGGGGAGCTCCAACGGGGACTTGTGCCCAGGAGCCACCCTGTCAGTCTGAGTTA